GATAGATATAAAGCGTCATTTTGTTACGTAATTTGTCCAGCACATGCTATATTTGTCTTACATTTGTTTAATATAAAATGATACAGTTAGCTAAATCGAAGGTATATAGTCTATTGGCTGTAGCTTGTAGGGATTTAAAAGTATAACAATAACGATAGCTCTAAGTTCGTGTATTGAAGTAATTATCAAATGAACAAAACGACAGTCCCTGTAAGTTAAAAGATGTAATTTTTTAATATTCGATAACTAATATAACCTTTTAAAAAATTTGATATTGAACGCCATTCGATATAGCGATTATGACCCTTATGGTAATTTTGGCGGTAATAATGGTAACGGTAATAGTGGTGGTGGTGGCCGTAAAGACTCACCTGTTTGGAATTGGGGTGGGGATTCGGCGGCTGAATAAATGTGTTGTTAAATCATCATTAAATCTAGGTCATACGCAAACTTGTATGGTGTAAATAACCAGATTGATATGTAGTATGGTACAGACTATTTTTTTAACAAGGTAACTTTCCCCCGAACCATCCTAACCCTTTCCTGATCAGTCCCTGTTTTTATCAACCTCGATAATAGCCACATCACAGATTGTAAATAATAATTAACTATATGTCAAACTCTATACACCCATAGTTATCCACCATAGTTATCCACCGTATATATCAACAAAATGGCCCCTAGTATGATGTTGATAACAACGAAGGGCGACTGTATACATACTAGCTCGAATTTTGTATACTACAAGCCATAACATCGCATCGATATGTATTATCGTTATATATATACAACGCAAAATATACTATATTGTGTATCAATATGGAATAGAGCTAGGGTAGGATAAGGCTTAGGGCTGGGAGATAAGATTAGTTTTGGCCGTTTTCTTGAGCGTTTACATGTCTTTTTCTTTCTCTTCTTAATGCATACATATAGTATATAATGCACGACACCTAGTCCCACAGTTTTATATTGTTACTTTAAAACCTATAACTTTTATAGAATAAATTTCTAACCAACAACTAAACATTGAATGTAGACCATCAATGTTTAATTTTTTGCTAGAAATTTAATTATACAAAAGTTATAGGTTTTAAAGTAACAATATAAAACTGTGGGACTAGGTGTCGTGCACTGTATATTTTTTGCGTATTGAAATGTACGTTTATGTTGCACGCATTATTTAGTAATTTCTTTGAGCATCTGTACGTTTTATCGTAGGACTCATACCTAACTCTTATTCCGAAGTGAATAATCCAACTACGTATTACATGCACAGGTACTACTTACAGTATTTGTAATTTTTCACCAATATGATTAAAAGCCTCAATACAACTCTCGATTTTTTATAGAGAACTTTAAAGGGAGTCAACTGCAATTGTAAATAGAATTGATAGTTTCATTTTAATTTTCGTCAGTTTGGAATATTACGTATTTACGTACTCACTGCCCATATCCAAAAAGGAAATTTTAGGTCCATATCCTACAAAAATTCCATTTTAATGTTTCAATAATTTTAATTTAAATTAAATATATAATTATGGATATACGTAATTATAGTGTTGTTGTTACCGTAGTAACGATAACATTAAATCCTTAATCTCGTAATTTTTACTCCTAATTTCCACATGAATACGTATCTTTCCATAATTCCTACATGATAATCCTTCCCAATTTATTGTGTAATTTGTATCATTATGAATGAACATTACGTACGTACGTACTTTCTTGTCCCATCGTTCTTCAATATTAGTGCACGCAACGATAGTGATTATCTAAAGGACAACAATTATCTGGACAATTGAAAAACATCAAACAATTATTGTTTGATTACTTTGAAGTTTTAAGAGAAACAATCAATGTAAAACACCAACCTTAGAAGTAGTATATGATTAGCGTAGTAATCTGAAATTGTACAAAAGGAAGCGTTCTCGAATCTTTAGAAAGAGATGCTTTTTTTATGCCTTAATCTAATAAAATCACAAAGTTCTTGCTTGTAATAATAATATTACTTGTGAATACACTATTATTTCGATTAAACTTCAGTGGATGCTCCTCCACTTAAAATAAGCCGTTATTTTTCTTTGTTTTCTCGAACAGGCCATATCAATAAGTCCTGTGTAATTATTTTTGTTTTCTTTGAACAGGCGGAATTATTTTTGTTTTCTTTGTACAGGCCGTATCAATAAGTCCTGTCACGTTTGCAAACATTTTGACTACTGTTGAATATTTTATTATAAAAATTTGATTCTTATTACAAAAGCGATTCTATTCTATTTCCTCTTTCAAACACCCCCTTATTATTGTGTAAAAGTCGCCACGGGAAACCTTTAGAACGACCAAAGAGACTCTTTAATTTAACCGTAAATAATTCGATCTAGCTCTCAACCTTCGTTGCGAAAAACCCCTTGATCAATCGATTGTTATAATAAACATAATAATCTGGTGCCCCAACCCATCTGTCACACTTTTAACTAAATATCGAAGGGAACGCAACAGTGTATAAAGTTTTAATATATTTTTTAAATTTGGTTTTTTAGAAAATTTTTTTGTCCCATATCCCATATTAAGACGGGTATATAGCAAGTATAATTGAATACATGTATTATGAAATTTTTCATCACTATCGCTATTACTATGTACGTATTAATCGTTGATTCTATCGTTGGTTATACGATATCAATATTAAAAGCCTCAATATAGAAATAAAAAACCCTATCGCTATATTTTTTTCAACAATTAAATGAAATCATTTTTGTTTGGACTAACAATTTTGCTTTTTAATGTATTAAAATAAAAAAATAGTATCCTTTTTTTTGCGTTTCTCTTATTGGTTTTTGCTTAATCTTTGTGGCAATATTTACTCTAAATGTAGAGGTCCGCTTTCAATAACCAAACGATGGGAAGATTGGGGACGTTAAAGAACTATATTATTTTGAAATCTTGTGGGTACATATGGTGGTGTACTGGTTATGGTGATGGCAGCAACAGTAAATATCTTCCTGTTTTAGATTATGGTGTGATTGGGGCAACGGCAGCGGTAGAAAACACCGATTTGGTTAATAAAATCTTTTTAATTATCGCTTTTAAAGTCTATATTTTTAATAATTTTTATATCTAAAAAATTTAATACGATATTATATGTATAGAATATATTAGTATATTCAAATACGTATAAAGCTATTATTTATTATCGGAGAATGATATCGTTATGTAAAATAGACTGTTGAATCACAGTTGTTCAATTATTTATTTTGATTTTTTCTTAAATTCCTCTTCAATAAATAGCCACAGCTTATAGTACCACTACAAACACATCTATTCGAGTTTAAAAACTCGATTTTCCAATAAAAATAGAAAATCACTTCTTTCATTTTACCATGTCGTATTGAAAGTCCGCTGTAATAATAAAAATTACTGTTATAAATTATAATCTTAGACTAAAATAGTATTCTAACTAAGGACAAACTAGCCTACTATCTTAGTATTTAAGAACTGTTTCAATGTTTTGAATTAAAGTTAATGACAACTACTAAGGGAGCGAATTTATCAAGTTTCATAGCTCCCTAAAAACACATGATTATTACATATACATGTATTTTCATACGTACTGTGAAATTACACGACATTTTTGTTTTTATAACGATAATATTTCATACATATATGTACATGTACGTACTTGTGAATACATGTAGTACAATTTTCTAACAATGTGAAATTGTGAACTTTGTGGACATTTTAGTGACCTAGATAAACAAGAAAGTAATACAACTAGGAAAATTCAATTTTGAATGTTTAATATCGATATGGAAATAAAATGATTTACTTTTTTACTTTGCCAAAACGAGTCCATAATTCTGCATTTGGTAAACTAGATTTCAACTGTTCCTAAATTCAATACACGAATTTAGAGCCATGTATACGTACTTCTGAACTGCCGCCTAAAATCCAAGATTTAATTAGTTCTCTATAAATAGAGTTTGTTATTTGTTCATGTAAATGATGATGTAAACAATTTGTCAATATATGTACAATGTTACCTATTGAGGTCAACAAAGAATATCTATTGATTAAAAAGTATATAGCGACTAGATTTAATATGACTTGTATCAAATATAGTACGTGTTAATAATCAAATAAAAACTTAACAAGTAATTTTTTTGAACTTTCTAAAGAAAAATTATTTAAAAATACTGTTAACTAAACATAAACAAACATAAGATACATATTATAGTTTTTAAAAGAATACCTCAGGTACCCCCCCCCCCCATCTTTGCAGTAATAGTAAAGTAATCCGTTACAACTTCGATTATGGAAGTTGATGCCGGTCAAATTATGCATGATAGGGTTAATTCTAGGAACTATCGATATGTATCAATTTAGCTACATGTATTACGTAATTTACTACATGTAATTGGTTGAGCCAATAATTAATAAATCAATTTATTAATAGCTTTTTTTAAAATGATTTTGTACCAGTAGATTGAATATCGATATTTATAGTGATATCAGTAAACCTGTTTGGACCTTGTATATAAATAAATGAAGGATAAACAGGTTTTAGAATTAATTATAGCAATAGTGATTGTGAATACGCCAACAGATCGTTATTTTTTTGTATAATGATTTTATACATGTAGTTCTGTATGAAAGATAGAATTTCTATCGCTACTACTACTACGTACGTAGTTAAGAAAGAATTGTCCACAATAATGCACATAATAAAATAACGACAACGATCATATATGCACGTAATAAAATAACGATAACGATAATATATATGCATTGTGTTTTCTTTTTCTAATTTATGTACGCTTGAACCGAATGTACATTTATAAACAAATAGGTTCCAGTGAATCTGAAAAAGAACAATTCGACAAATTATCCAAACAAGTACTAAGTTATTACAACAAGTGAATCCGAAAGAGAAGACATTCATAGTTTCAAAATTCCATATAAAAAATTCTCAAAACTTAAATAATTCTTATATACAAGCTCTAAAAATGATTTCTATTCAATACGTATTGACAATATTTGTGCTTTTATTTACTTTGACAATAGCAAGTCCAATTTTGCAGCGTCGGTAAGCATATTAACCTTTTCGATTTTTGAAAATATGAAATTTGAATTGAGCATTAAAAGTTTTCTGTATATGATAATAGTCAATTGGATTCTCAGCCTGTGCGTGGCCCGAATGGAGTAGTTATTGGAGAAGCTTACACTCAAGGAACAGAAGACCATAGCTCAGGAAATGGGCCACCGGCAGCTGAATAAATCTTGCAAGAATATTTGTTTCTTCTGTGAATTTTGTACTGATGATTTTTTTTTAGTATAACTCCTTCCAGTAAATTTAGACTAGTTTATACATACTATTCGAGTACAAAAAATAATTTATCTTTATTTCTTTGTTATTCATAATTTTTGAGTTTCTTTACTAATGTTATACGTAAATATTTAAAATAAACGATTAATCTCAAAATGGTTAACATTAAATATGTTGTTATTTTGATAAGTGAAACAACCAAGTACAGATATATAACGAACTGACGGTTCTGTTAATAAAAAAAGTTCGTTATATAAAATCACTGTTTTTTATAGAACCCACTACGTACTCTTTTTATAATGAACTAATATAAAAAATTTAAGGTTCATTATATCCAGAGTTCGTTATAAACAAGGTCATTATAGAAAGAGTCGACTGTACTTGTACGTATTGATTTTCACCAGATCCAAAACTCTCCTACGTAATGACTATAAGTGTTGTCTACAAATAGGGACTTTTTGATGAGAACATTAATTATCAAAAATAATTTTATTTGTGAGTGGACGGCATTACGTATTCTTTGATTGTTAGCATTGTACATGAACTACTTTTCGTATTCAAGATAAATATCGATATTGTTGCAAATATTACGCGAACCAACAAGAACGAAGAATAGACTACATATTTTCGTGATTTATTTGTTGTAATTAAAGCTGATGGGTTGTTCCTTATCCTTCAAATGAATAATTCTTGCAGATACATGTAGCAATATATTTTGAGGAGAAAGTGCAAAACCCGTATGCCTCAAGATCATCTATAATTATGTAATTTTTTATCATAAACCAATGAATACACTTCAACTTCTTTTTATAGCTCTATTTTGACTATGATTATTAGCGTTAGTGCGTACCACCATAATATCATAAGCCATCAACTTTAATTTCTTCTAAAAAGGTTATAACTTGGGCAATAATGATAGTATAAAAAAAAACTCTGCTACGAATTATTATTTTAAAGCTGAGCCAAAATTTATTGCTGCAATATTTTTAATTTTCTGTTTAGAGCTCGAGTTATAAGATGACTTCAAGTTAATGGCTTATGGTGGCACGTACTGTACAAACTTTTACATCAACTCGTCGGATGATAATATAATTTATAAATTAAACTTTTGATATTTTCAATCAATTATTCAGTCATATTCAGTGAAATTTGCAATTTCAAAACAGCGAAAAATTAAATGAATTTATATAGGGCAGCAGCAAGTTTGATATCGTTAATACATATCCCGAAATCAAAATACCAAAATTACAGATTAGATTAGACCCTACATCTGAGTCTGTTTACTTTGGTCATTTGAGAGAAATTGCTACTTAAAAACACTTATCAAAAACAAATGACCTCAAATTCAAGTGAAATATATTTTGTGGCTTAGAGAGATAACTGTAATGCAGCCACAATTCATTCTGAACTGGTCAGTCACAATTTGGGGCTTTCACAACCCTCAATCAGGAAAGCAAGTTGTTGTAAGAATACTTTCTTACATGAATAATGTTAAAATAAATTTATTAATTGTTGTAAATAAATTATATCAATTGAGATAGTTTTCAGTTTTAACTTTAATAAAGCTTATTCTTTATTTATTAAATAATGAAAAAATTTAAAGAGCTATAATACAGAATATAAATATTTAAATACATAATTGATACTTTATAAATTACAAATAATTAATAATAAATAAAAAAATGATTGGTTTTAAATTATTAATTTTAAAAATAATACATTTTCAAGTTATACTATACTTAATTAGATATATAAAATATAAATAATAATATAAATACTAATAAAAGTAATTAATATAGATTTAAAAATAATAAATAAAAAATAAAAGAATGAATAAAATAAAAGAAATTAAAAACAATATATATTTAAATTAATAATATAATCTACATTTTATATTTAATCTATTTGGCAAAATATTAAGAAATATTAAATGTAGATCTGTATTAATTTCTTATATTATATGAAAAATAATAAATATAACACAAGAAATAATGAATATAATACAAGAAAATACAAGGATATATAAAAATTGTTACAGTTGTGCTGGTATTCAAACATAAATTAATGATTAGTCATATATAATTATCCAAGTAATTAGTTAAATAAATTCTCAAAAAAATAACTTATAATATTATCAATAAAAATTCTTTATAAAATTTATTTAAAGATTTATTTAAAGATTCTTTATAAAATTTATTTAAAGATTTATTTAAAGATTCTTTAAGATAATTTTATTCTTTAATTTGAAAAAATATAAATATATTTTTCCAAATTTAGTTTAATAAAAAATATTTAAAAATTATTATATAACAATATTTTAAAGTTTAATAAAAAATATTTAAAAATTATTATATAACAATATTTTAAAGTCTAAAAGCTTTTCAAAAACTGAAAACAAGTTCAAAATTGCTTTGAAAAAAATATAATCAAAATTTAATATGTTAGTTTGAAAAAAATTATGATCTTAATACTATAAAAAATTAAAGATGAATAATATTTATTATTAGTTATTAATAAAAAATGATATATACTATCTAAAATTATCAAATTTTGTATTTTATAAAATGAATAAACTTTTTTATTATAAAGTAAATACAAAATTTAATTTGTAAATATGCTCAAAAAGAATTTATTTTATTATATTTACAGATTAAATTTTGTATTTATTTCTTAATAAAGAAGTTAATTCATTTTATAAAATATAAAAGTTAAATAACTTTAAATAGTATACATTATATATATTTTTCATCTGATAATAATTATCAAGAATCGAATTTTTTTATAAAATATTAGATAAATAACATGTTGAATGAATAATATATATATAATTTATATCATGTAAAAATTGCTTTATTTTAGTCAACTTTAATATAATGATAAGTATATTTTATATACTTATCAATTCATTAATTAATATAATTAATAGTAAAATTAAAGAACATATTCTATATTTAGTAAAAATTAGTAATTATCAATATCTAATTTGGAAAATAATTAAAATAATTCATATATGAAATATATTAAAAAATAATTTTAATATATGGTCTGGTGCATTAATATCTATACCTCGATTTAAAAGATTTTTATTTGCGTAATACTAAAACCACATGTAATAACCCAAATAAACTCATTTTCACATAGTAAAATGATTATATATAGATGTATTTTTTTTCGCAAAATTTATCGATTTCTCATGTTTAGTTCTTGCATAAACTGAACTTCCGCATCACTAACTGCAAATGAAAAATGGATGGTATTGAATGTCTACATATACTTTTCTGGAACTACATCCACAGATAAACAAAATAAAAACATGTCATTACGCAAGCGAGTTGGTTTGGTTTTGGGAATTGCGGAGAGTACGATTGGAGTTGTGTTGTCTGATTGAAACCAGTGTAATGATGATACATTTACATCACATCAAAATCTTGAACAGCCTAAATCTCAATCAGACAAAGATATCATATTACTTTTGCAAACTTACATTATGAACAGCAACAAGACAGAATAACAACTTTCCACACCTTTCTTACGACAATTTCTTTCTGAACATGGGTATGTACTTTCCAAATGGCAACTTCTCTGAATACTACAATGATTAGACTATTATTATAAATAGGGAGAATGAAGAAACATCATTCATAAGTTACCAAACAACATTGTATTTTGCTGTCATTACCTTCATTACCATTTTGCTAACCTAGAGGGCAACAATAATGTTCCACACCTTCTGAAAGTTTTTCTTGACAAGTCGTATTGTCATTTGCATTATACATCACTGAAAACATGGGTACCTCACAAGAGCATTATTTCAACACAGGGATGTGGTCCGTTGTTAATAATTTTTGGTGCAATTGTCATTTTTCAAAATGACGGCAGTAACAAAATACATGGTAAGCTTGTGCCAAATTCTGTTTATCTTTGGAATCCTGCAATTAAACCTCCTGGAACTAGAGAATGAAAATGACATAATGCTAAAGAATAGAACAATGTTCTAGATGTCATTAAAGATGTCAATATTATTCCTGAACAAGCAGACTACCACAGAAACTTCAATGCTGACATTTTTAAAAATCTTTTCACAACACTTTGTGAAACAATTAGTAAAATATATAGCTGAGTACATATTCATATGGATGACGCACATTATTATAAGCGAAGAATCAAAAATGTCCCAAACTCAAGCACCAAAAAAAATAAAATAACTGACTGGTTAATAGCTCACGAAATTTTTTTTCTGACAGACTATGCAAACCTGAGCTTCTAGAACTTGTGCAGAAAAACAAAAAAAAAGTTCCATTTGCTTGTGTTGAGATAGCAAAACAATATGGTCATGAAGATTTTTTACGTCTCCTTACCATTGCGAGCTTTAGCCAATTGAGGGTGTTTGGGCAGTAATAAAAGGTGAGGTAGCAAAGTCAGGCCCACATTTAAATCTCTTAGACATTAGAAACAAGCTTTTAAAAGTTTTTAAAGAAAAAATAACATTAAAAGTAATAGTAGAATTATAGAAAAGAGCGCTCACAAGAGCCAAAGAATATAAAAAATCAGATAATGATGTAATTTTATTGGATGAGAAAATAGATGATGATGACGATCTTGATGATGATGATGAATTTTAATAAAATTTTTATGATATAATAAATCTGAATACCTATTTATTTTTTATTTTTTTTAAAAAAAAATTTATATATAGAAACTGATTTTATTAAGATTATTGTGAGATATGAATATTTTCACACCAAACCATAGATTAGTATTAAAGTTGAAAAGAAGATTAAAATTATATATAAAATTATCTTTTTGACATTTTTAATTAGTACTTAAAATAGATTTAAGTATATATTTCTATATTTTTTATTTTTGTCTTTGCTTTAAATTTGTTTTGCCAGTTAATTAAAAATTTACATATTTTTATTGATTTGTTCTTTGAATAAATTATATTTTAACTAATCTTTTAATTTGAAAAGTAATTAAAATGGTACAAGTCATGTGATTTAATATAAGATAATATAACTAATCACATTTTGAAAAAAATTAATATTAAAATATTATTGGTATCTGTAAAATATATAATAATCATTATTAATAATAAATATATTTTTTTAGATTGAGATAAGAATATAAGCTATTTTTTTATAATTTTAATAATATAATCAAATCTCTTTATAGTCACATTTATTTATAGTCACACTCTTCTATAGTCACTCTATTTTGCTTTCCTATTTACATATAAATATAGTAAAAAAAATCTTTCTATAGTCATATTTTCTTTATAGTCACCAAATTTTACTTTCCTAAAGATAATAACTATAAAGAGATTTGATTGCAATAGATTTTTCAAATAAAAATACAAGATTTTATTTATTATCTTACAATTTTTATAATATTTTTTATTATACTTGCTTATAAATTATATATAAATTATACTTTAAAAAATCAAGATACTACTTTATATATTAAGAACTTTATATTTTTATATTTAGTATATATTTATTATTTAAACTAAAACTAAAAATATATTCTTTTTTTAATATTTAATTTATTTGAAATTTATTATAAAGAATACAAAAAATAAATATTTATATATTTATAATATTGACTTCTGTTCAAAAACATGAATTTTTCTTTAATATTAATTAATTAATAAAAAATTTATACTTGTTATTTTATTAAATTTAAATAATTAAATATATAATAAGAAAATATTTTAATAAATAAATAATAAAAAAACTAAAATTTTATTATTAAACTTATATTTTATAAAAATTAATATATTACATATTATTACTAAAAACAAAATATAGATTAAATAATATAATAACTCTTTTAATTATATAATTCTTTAAAAGATAATAAAAAATTAAAGATTATAAATGATATAAACTTCAATTAATAATAAAGCTATTAAGAATTATTAATCATTATTAATTATTAGTACAGTTAAAGAATATATAACTGTTTTGGATTTAATATAAAGAATTAAAATAAAGAAAAATTATTAATATTAGATATAAAGTATATAAAGTTAACTGCTTCAAAACTCATATTTTTTCAGCTTTAATAATCTAAAGATAAATATTAATAAAGCAATTTTCTTATTTAAAAAATAATAATATCAAATAAAGCAATATCTAGTTCAATAATCTTTTCAAGTTTTTGTTTTTATATATTTAGATTAACTCAAAAAGCTTAAGAATTATAGATGACTTATATTAATCAATTCTACTTATAAAATAAATCAATATAATTGGAATTTATTTGTATTATATATTCATAATGAATATAATATTGAAACATAAAAAAAATATTTTTTTGTAAATAATAAAATTAATAATATAATAATGAAAGCTCTAATAATAATTTAATGACTTGCTCATTGCTAAAATCTTAATACTTTTTATAGACCAAAATAATATAAAAGCCAATAGTATTACAATTATTTTTTAAATCTTTGAAAAAATAATAAGTGTGATATTCTTTTTTATACTATTAATATTATGTAAACTTGGATAAGTAAAATTTATTATTTAAAAACTTGAAAAAATAATACAATTAATGTATAGTATAATAAAAATTGATTATAAGATATTAGCCAACAAGTGATCAATAATTGTCTGGTTCTTACTGTTAAGTAATATATCTTAAGAAACTATATATCAATGAGCTTTCTGAACTCATCAATATTTTTTTCTTCTTTTACAAGTAATATTTACAAATAGCTTGGAATCTTATCACAACGAATTGAAAAAAATAATTTCTTTTTAGCATGATTTAATTGATAGATTTCTTTATATAATATTATTACTTGTTATTAGTTTTCTTTATTCATTGCTATCAGCTTTTTTTTGTTATGTAATTATGTTATTAGTTCTTTATTTATTATACAACTACTAGTTTTTATTTATTATATAAATACAATCAACTTTCTTTATTCATTATGTAATTATATAATTAACTTCTTTATTTATTATAAGATTATACTAATTAATGCAATTAACTTTATTTATTATATAATTATATAATTAACTTTCTTTATTTATTATACAATTATGCTATTAGTTTTTTTATTTATTTCACAGTCTGCAATGTGCTTTATTTATTATATAATCATATTACTAGTTTTATTTATTTGTTATATAAGTGCAATTAACTTTATTCATTTATTATATAATTATATAATCAACTTTTTCATTCATTATACAATTATACTAATTATTGCACATGTTGCAAGTTTTTTAATTGCGAAATTGTGCTATTTACTTGTTACTTGATCAATTGTTAGTTTTTTCTTCATCTGAACTAATTATAATTTATTTTATTTATCCTAGATGCATGCCATAATATTATTTTGCTTGATGCAAAGAAGTGTTCAGACTCAAAATACATTGTCTTTGAATTTCGCACAGAGAAAGTTTCTGCTGCTGATATCGATTGTGAATTTCTCAAAAAAGTTTATAAGTTTCCTTTTCTAATTCAAAAATTGATTCTTATCGAAGCCTTGCTGTTGAAAAAAGGGTAGAAAATGACACCTGGTTTAATGTTTTCTAATTGCTTTTGCTTGTTTTTCTGGTAGTATCAGTTGCCCTGCCAACACATATTTCACGAGCGCATGCATGGAGCTAAAAAATTATTAACATCTAATATATGGAAACAATTGCAACAGGCATCAAGAACCAGAAGAGTCATAATATTCGAAAAAAGTGAAACTGAAAGAGCAGTTAAAGATCAACAACAGATTATGAACGAGTTGATGGAAAAAATACGTGATTTGTATTTGAGGGTTAAGAAGAGAGAAGATCCTGAACAAACAGTTCTTTTTATTGAAAAATTGAAAAATGAATTGGGTTCTATTTTTAACTAATACTTAACAGTTTTTTAGTTTTTTAATTATAAATGATTTTATTATTATTTTTTTATAATTAATATAATTTTTATGTTTATTTAGTATAGTATCATAAGATTTAAACGATTTTTTAATTACAACAATTAATATTTATGCAATAAACATAAGAATCTGTTCCTCTATCTATAAAGGAGAACGGCCTATAATATCAAATGATTCTCCCGGATGTAAATTTATTGTTGAAAAATGTTGGGATCCTATTCGAAAAAACAGACCAACTGTTGAGGATCTTTGATTCTTTATTAAATCCATTTGCGGGAATTTAAGCAAACTGAATACTTTGCATTTTCAGAACTGTAACTCCGATTCAGTTTTCACTTCGGAAAATTGATTTGCGACTTTAACACAGGATTCCTTCCGAAGTGGGATCAGCCACATTATCCCGTGTCAGATCACATGACTCGCACCGCTTTAACCGCTCCCTGATCTGGTATTGATATACAACTGAAAATTAAGTATCCTAGCCACGGCTAAAAAGTAACGGTCACGTGATAAAGACCAAGACCATTGAAATATTACATATAAAATAGCATTCTTATTAGTCATATTGTATTGTCACATGACCAGTTACATTTTTTCGCCGTGGCTAAGTTACTAAAAATTTGCCGGTGGCGTGACTAAGTGACCTGCACTGTTTAAGCATTAAATCTTTTAAGAAACATAATTTGTTCTATCAAACAGCTATTTAATCGATTTCATTCAGGTGTAATTAAGATTCCCACATCTGAAAATAGATATTCAGATGGAATTGGCAAATATTTGCGTGCAAGTTGTGAAAGAATTGGGTATAGGGATAGGAATCGATTCTCAAGCACAGATTACGATGATGATGATGACGACGACGCAAGCGATGACATAACTGGTCTTTAGTTTTGTTTTTCATTCATGTTGATTTTCGTTGGAATAGTTTGAAGTTATACTTTGATCAGTTGAAATTATACTTTGCTGAATTCGTAGAGATACTAAAGATACTATAAAGGCAATTGAAGTATTGTCATCAGATTGAGATTCCGTATCCATTCAATTACATGTATTTTCTGTTGTTTCGTAATTTTGGCTCAATATCAGTTACTTTTGGCATTAGCATCACTATCAGAATTATTAAAATTTACATTGGCAATAGTTTCTTGGTTATTATCAATATTAACATTTTTATTGAATGACAGAGTACGTAGTTGGTCTGCGCTATAACCTTTGCATTGTTTTCACAAATGAAAATCATGATTTTCCAATTGCATGTATATGTTTACACGATTTATCGTTATTGTCTTTAAACTTGATTCTCAAATTTTAAAATTAATCGATTCTCAGAATCTATTCTAGAGAATCCCTAGATCAGATACTAACTCGGTCTTTTTCTCATAGTTACAAGGACTAAGAAGACTGGACTGCAAAGACTGCAGTCTTTTAGGACCGATGACCATATTTACGAACGACCAAGTCATTTACCAAATATAAATCTCTTATCTATATATTTGTTGAGATATTTTGTCTTTAAAAGACTAATTTATTATATATTGATATTTACTTGGAGAACGCATTACGATTGAGTTTACATGGACACTTAATTGTTGCAGAAGGTTGTTTGCGTTGCTTGGAAATAGGTTATGTATGCATTTCTGCTTCGTTAAAAAGAAATCCTTTGCTCCTTTGTGAATACGTCTACTTGCCCCCATGAATCAAAAATGCAGTCCACATGTAATGGCCAGGATAACTTTTTTCATTTCAAAATTGGAGCCCAAGTGATCGTGGCCTCTGATTAAAAGTTATGTGAAAACGTTGAATTTGAATCCAACACAAAATTCGAATTATCAGAAATCAAGTTCGTTTGGGAATAATAACGATAAGTGCTTGTATAAAAAAGAGTAAAGAGAAATAACGATAAACGTGTACGTATACGAATTTAGTACTACAAAGGAGTTCATCTCTATAAATGCACGCTATTACTCAGTCCCAAACTTATAATACCTCTAAATATTTACTCTATAAATACACACACTCTCTAAATTCACGCAGTCTTTTTTTTCAATATGGTCTCCGGGGGTGAACTCAGAGGTTCCTCTGTATTTTATTGTTCACGTGATACAGTATAAAATTACATTATCATCAAAAACTAAAAGCTAATACATGTACATGTAATAATAATTTATATAATAGCGGCAAATTTTACATTTGTTTCATATGTATCTTGACTAATCGCTATGCTATATTCAGAATTTAATCTTTTTCTTTTCTGATATTGTGTTACACCATGATATAGTCGACTGATTAAAGTATCCAATAAGACTAATGCACTGGTCCATGACGCAATCAATGGAATTACATCGTATTCGACAACATTTTGCCAATAGAAAATCTAGATCCAAAAAATCATATTATTAATTTGCATTTAATAAATAGAGATTTCTCCAAATATATTTTATTCGCTTACCCGTATAATAAACTGCGGAATATGATTAATAATCAAATTCAATATGCTCGTTATAAATATAATGGCCTCGGCACGTTCGGAAAACGTAGCAGAAAAAGCTAGCAGGCCTGCCACTTGTGAAGTAAGTACATTCAATATAACGATATCGCCACTGGCAAACAAAGTAGCCGCTGCAGCAATTTGTGGATACCTTCGGAACCAGGAATTAAATTTGTCGTTTCGTGAATTTTCCGATAGGATTACGTAAAAAGCGACGGTGCAATTCATGACGATTGGAATTATTAGTGTGAGTAAACTAAAGAGACAATGTGTTTAAGTTAATCATGATTAAATATCAGAGTATAATTACAAAGATTTCATATACCTGGGAATAAAAAGTTTGGGTACATCTTTACCATTAAATATTACAAATGCAAAATCGAAAATAATATCTTGTAGAATCAATGCACTCGTAACAATGATAATATTTTGAGCCTATTAATAAGAGATTTTCAGAAAAGAAGTGCATGTTAAAAAATACCACAGAAATTTCAAAAATGGATAAACTGCAACTTACTTTTTTATTCTTACGCCAAGCCATGAGAAACGCAATAGCAATCAAAAAAACGATAGCAATAGCTACAATAAACACAATCTTATAGCTTTCCCATAAATTACCTTATAAAAAAGAATCCAATTAGAATAAGATTAACATAACAACGATAAAGTACACAATCCATTCTTTTATTTACTTGATTCCTGGAACCCATAACTACTGTCCAACCACTCGGTATAATTATATTTTGAAATAGACGTAATATCCTTGTATTTTATAATAGTCTTTAAATTGCTCATAACCTGTTGGACGTTATTTTCGGAATCATTTTCTGATGGTAGAATAGTAATTCGAAGAAGAATTTGATCACCGTCGATTTGGTATTTTTTCTTTATTTCGAATCTTTTGCGCGAAATTGAAATCGCATTTGCGAGCTCACTTAATATATCTTCATATATAGAAGAATTACTCTTTAATGAGTTTTTGAATTCTATTGTACCCTCAAGCGTCAATCGGATTATTCCTGATTTTCTACCTATTATTGAATATTTATATATCAGTGATTAGATTTATTAAATCAAGAAATTTTTATAAAGTAATTACCATTATCGTCTCCACCAGCTTTAAATGGCTCTAAAAGAGAATTCAAAAAGTTGCCTTATAATAACAGCTATATAGACAAAAAATACAATAAAAATATTTACCAGTAGTAAATCGCCAACTTTCTTTACCCATTCCAAGTAATGCTTCACCTGTATCAGAATCACGAACGAAATCCGTGTCAACAATCACATAATAAATAGCATTTGGGACATTAAAAGTGGAGTCCAAAACTGAAATCGAGACTTTTTTCTCTTGGATATTAATTTGAAGAGATTGAGACAATTGATTTCCTCCTTGACGAAAAATATCAGCTGATCCATATTTGCCTTCTTGATATATTGTGATATTACCGGATGATAAGGTAACAGGTTCGCTATATGTGATGCTTATTTGTGCGATATTAGATGGAATAACGGCTCCGATTGTTGGAAATGTAATAACGATATTTGGATTTCGATAACGTTCATCAGCATCTTATTGTAAAATTAAATATATTAGGTAATTCGAAAAGGATATAAATCAATTATAATAAACAAGAAACATACTTGAAGCTTTAAACCTAGGAAATGTTTTTGTTATTATTGTCCAATTTTTAGCTGCTATTGTATCTTTTTTTGCAGCCCATATAGTATTACTCAAAGGAAACACATTTGATTGATTAGCAAATGTTTCAAAAGTCCATTTTTCTCTTACGCTACCATCACGATTCAGCATAACACCACCTGCCTTTGTCTTGTTTGTTACTTCAAATGTCACATATCCACCGTAGAAAAGTGGATTCAAAGAATCTATTGGAGGACTAACATTTAATTTTTGAATGGCAGTCACAGAACCTTGACTTCTAAATTGAATACTTGAATATATTTTTAGAGGTGTGTTTAGATCTGCTGATGTTGTGTTACCGTTATCATTTATGGTAATACTTGTATTCGTCGCTGTTTGATTTTGAGTTTCCATAAAAACAGTATGATTCATCGATGCTATCATAAAACATTCATTTCCAGTTCCATCAAAAACTATTGCGCATCGCTGAAACTCCAGTTTTATTAGTTGTATAGGTGTCTGATACTGAATAAAAGGTTTTGTCGGAATCGAGCTGCTAGATCTCAAAAATGATACATATACATTCCATTGCGGAAACGTTGCATCTTGTAATTCCAATGGACTTTGAAATATATATCGGGTGACCATAATACAGCCAAATCCTCCATCAAGTAAGGTGAATGTTCTGTAATTAATGATAGTTTCATTTATGGATTTATCGTAGAAAGAACCTTCCCCGTCATCCGATATTTGGCCGTTTTCATCACTTTAGAATAAATAAAATTTATTAAGATAATATATATTACGATTAATCTGAATTGACGAGTTTATTTACGGCTTTGTGAATCTTTTCCATCCTATATTTCCGTTAGGTAATTGGTAGGTTCTTAATATCCCGCTTGAAGGACCAAATCCAATCGTAACTCTTCTGTTGTATGGTGATCCAAAACCAAGCCGAAAAGTACTGATTATATAAATCATAGCAGTATTAATAATAGTTAGATTTATCGTTATTAAAAAAATGAATATAACATGATAACAAATTACTTTTTAATATTTCCCCAATAGTCTACAAAAACTCCATTCTCTCGATAAACGCCATTCACTTCGGGTTTAACATCCGAAAAATTAAAATAATTTAACAGAATAAGGTTCGGTTCTACTAAAAACACATAAATCCAGTCAGTCGGACAATAATTCCATTTATTCACAGGAAAGTCGAAATCCAATGGACGAACAGTTCCATTTGAGAAAACGAGTCGTAAATGCATGCGCGGCTCTCCGGGTATAGTGCATTGCAAGATGCTATCGTTTTTTATCATACGCATTAATATCGTCCCATAGTTATCAGAATAACTATCAAAAATTATGAGGTTATCTTGGTCTTCGGTGTATGAGACACTAGAATAGGCGGTGGTATATATTACTCTTGAATATGTCGTTAAAATTATCAAATACAAAAAATACTTGGGAAAATTCATGATGTGAAATTTGGTTTTGAAGATATGTGTTAATGCCGTCCTCGTTAACGTAGTCGTCAGCATCATTATATTCTTATATTTTATCATGAAGAATATTAAAATCTAATTCATTAAGTACAATTTTTGAAAATAACGATGAGGTGAAAAAACTAATTATCTATATCGATTCGTACGTACATGTATTTATTTATTAAAAAAAGTTATTGTTATGTATATCATAGTTCCGAAGAATTGCTATTATTTATATCGATATGCATAGTGACAGCGATAGTATCGGTATTCCTAAATTTATTTAGAACCTGTATCGGTATGTACATGTACGTATATATCGATATATACGTACTTATAAAGAACCAAATCGATTGATTAAATACAAATCATAGCTAACGCTAAAACAAAAAACCACCAGCATAAACTTTCTTCCTCAGTGCATTCTGTTAGTAAGTAGCTTAGAATATATATTGATCCAAAATTTTAAAACAACTCCTTATAATAATGCTACTTAAAAAAAAGTTTTTCTCGATGATTGAAGTTAAAACACAAACACTTAACTTTTTTCTTGTCATCAGGCATAGCTTACCTCAATTTCTAGAGAATGGATCATGTTTACACATACTTTTAATTTCTTATATACATTAGCGATCGTAAGTATCTGAACGCCCGGCATTGCCCAAAATTATACTACGTATACATGTCTTAGAAACTGTTTTTAGAAAAAAGTAAATTTCAGCAAGCAATTCAAATAATCCTGGATTTGTAATAAAAAAAAAACTACAGTCAACTTTCTCGAAATGCAACCTCTAAATGCAATCTCTTTCTAAGTGCACATTACATTTCAGTCCCATAATGGGACTTATAGATAAGTGCACATTCTTTATTCTCTAAATGCATATTATTTCTTGGTCCATTAATATATATGTGCTTTCTGTGAGTGCACATATGTGATTATGATTGTCAAAACCAATCAAATTGATATGGTAAAACATAATAATAAATAGTATTTTAGACCTTGTATTGAGAGGGATCGCATATTTGCTGGTCCAGCAGGTATAAAAAATTTAATCAAGAAATTTACAGAGTAGTTCGGGGATGTTTATTTGGTTATGTAACAGGCAAACAACCATTCGGCGAGCGTAGCCATGTAGTATTAAACATCTATAAAGGAATACGACCTAAGATACCAAATAATATTCCCGGATAGTGTATTCTCGTTATTGAAAAAATCAGCAATCGATTATCATTTATCATTAAACTAGATCAACGTTAATAAATTCGTGAGTTTTATACGAACGTACTTCTGTTACCAAATTCGTGTTATGCATTAACCAACATAACAATAACGATAACTATAAGGATAAGGTCGTGGAAAAATTAACTGTTGCTACATTATCAAATGGATTATCCTGTCTATTATAGCCTTGTTGTTAAATGGTGTCAACGCTGATGGTGACTTCCGGAGGCTGTTATTAAAGTGCTGATAATTTATCCTAGCCAGACAAGGGGTTTATTTTGCTTCAGTTATCAATAACATATGCTTCTATTTGGCTCCTGTCTCAAGATTAACTTTTTTTCTTGTGTTAAATTTTTTTATTATATCTTTTTTTTGTTGAGAATTAACAATTCAGCAAGTCAGTTTTTTTTCGAGTTCATTTGTAAATACCTAAATGCAAAGAAATAAATTATAATTTCTGCCTTGTTTTTTGTCACAACAGGAATTGAAATGACGATTTAAGTTACCCGTTGAATCACCTCACCACTGATTTTGTATTTGCCATAATAATTAAATAATACTCACTTTATACCATCTGCCAATTTATCAAAGTGATTACATATACTTCGCTCAGTGTTGTCGCTTGGATAAATTGCTGTATTTACGTCCAAGCGACAACACTGACTTCGCTCTTCAATAATACTATCTGTCAATATGGTTATAGTTGTATTTTGTAAAGGATTACAAATCGAGATTTGTAATTCGTTCATTCATTCATTCTTATTACTGCTTTTTTATTATTATTTTCTAGCTTTTGTGTTTTGAGTCATAAAGAGTCTCACTGTTACTTAATGAGTTATCACTAAAAATTTGTCTCTAAGAATACATTAGTGGATCAATCAACAGGTTAAATATTCAGGTTATTCGGTAAACCTGGATCGGGCAAAGACCTGATTCGCTCTGGGTTAATACAGTAGCTCACACATGTAACGGAACACGAAAATTAACTTTCTAACATTTTTATTTCCATGACTATTAGTTTGGACAAAATAA